TTTTTTAATACAATTGACCCCTGTGACCTTGAATATAATTGAAGGTCATTCATTTGAACAAACTTGGTAGCCCTTCACCCAAGCATGCTACTGGCCAAATATCATCTCCCTGGGCATTTTGGTTATTGAGAAGAAGATGTTTAAAGTTTTTGACATATTTGACCCCTGTGACCTTGAAAATAGGTGAATGTCATTTATTTGAACAAGCTTTGTAGCCCTTCATCCAAGTTTGCTTCTGGCCAAATATTGACACCCTAGGCCTTTCGGTTATTAAGAAGAAGTCGTTTAAAGTAAAATATTGACGCCGGACGACGGACGGACAGACGGACGGACGGACGGACGGACAGACAGACGGACGGACGGACACCGCGCCACGGCAAAAGCTCACTTGGCACTTCGTGCCAGGTGAGCTAATAACAAAGAGTTAAGCATCTTTAACGACGTGTGTTTTAAGTTTGTTTACGCGTTCGGCGACAATTTTCCTCTTAAGTGAAATATGCAGATATCAAAATATAAAACAAGTGTCTTTTATGTTTTAGCGCTAACTATAGGAAAAGCATTATTTGCCTCATCCTCGATACTCCGGGGGTTACGCTCAGTTTCGTTCTCTGCACCCCTGGAATAATTGATAAGCAAAATTGAAGTTTCAGTGTGCGCCACCTTGTGGATGAGACAAGAAGACTAGTTGGATCATTTCATGAACATAAAAAGTATCTCGCGGTCACATAACGGTACAATTTACTAGCTTTGAAGTCAGGTGTCGCTCCTTTGCAATCTTCAAAGGATATGTGTCAAGCCTGCGATTGGTCAGTGTTTTTCCACCTGAGACCAATCAAATAGCTAGCCTTCATTGTGCTAAGACACTAAGATTTTAGCTGGTGTTATAGGAATATCATGAACTCCCTGACATATAACGAAGAATCTTATTTGTTTCAGCTGGTACTGGTAGTCTGTTTAGCAGTCGTTACACTTATTGTAATTGCGATTCTGATATGGAGGGAAAACAAGTAAGTTGTGTCTACAAATTAGCATTTATAATCATATAACACATAAAAAATGGAAATAATTACAATTTAAGGCTTGCAATAAAAACACCCACTTAGTTCACTAAGTGTTAGGGACATAGAAATGATAATGATCCACTAAATTCACTTATCATTACAAACATAGAAATTATAATACTCCACTAAAATCACTTATCATTACAAACATAGAAATTATAATGTTCCACTAAAATCACTTAGCATTACAAACATAGAAATTATAATGTTCCACTGAAATCACTTATCATTACAAACATAGAAATTATAATGATCCACTAAATTCACTTATCATTACAAACATAGAAATTATAATACTCCACTAAAATCACTTATCATTACAAACATAGAAATTATAATGTTCCACTAAAATCACTTAGCATTACAAACATAGAAATTATAATGTTCCACTGAAATCACTTATCATTACAAACATAGAAATTATAATGATCCACTAAATTCACTTATCATTACAAACATAGAAATTATAATATTCCACTAAAATCACTTATCATTACAAACATAGAAATTATAATGTTCCACTAAAATCACTTATCATTACAAACATAGAAATTATAATGTTCCACTAAAATCACTTATCATTACAAACATAGAAATTATAATGATCCACTAAAATCACTTATCATTACAAACATAGAAATTATAATATTCCACTAAAATCACTTATCATTACAAACATAGAAATTATAATGTTCCACTAAAATCACTTATCATTACAAACATAGAAATTATAATGTTCCACTGAAATCACTTATCATTACAAACATAGAAATTATAATGTTCCACTGAAATCACTTATCATTACAAACATAGAAATTATAATGTTCCACTAAAATCACTTAGCATCGCAAACATAGAAACTATAATACTCCACTAAATTAACGTAGCATCACAAACATAGAAATTATAATACTCCATTCAATTAAAGTAACTTAGTATAACTAAAAAGAACATGCTTGACAATAATTAAGGATTAAATATATTTTTCATGTTATGGAGATATAACACAAAAAAACGGAGTGTACTCTAAATAAACTGCGAATCGCTTAAATGTTTTTTCAAAACAACTCAATTCATCACAAGATGAAATACAACGTGAACAGCATGAAAACAAGCAAGTTTCAATCCTTATATTTCGAATAATACGTATTCCGTCTTTGCGTACTGCAGAGTTATCTTCTCTTGGGAGCAGGTGTTGATTGTTACGTCATTGGTTTGTGTGAGAAAATTACGTCGTTTTCTCAAAAATTGATGACGTTACTCTCACAAACAAGTGACGTAAAATTGAAAAATATGTTTTTTTCTTCTGATTCTCAGAGATGATAGACGCATCTCTAGAAATAACCTGAACAAATTCTACCCCGGGTATTTCCGAACAAAAGCAGAACAATTGGAATTCGCGAACAAATCAGTCATCTATGTCCCAGTCAAGGAAACCTTCACAAGCCCCCTGAGTTGCGGTTTGGAATGTCTCCCGAATGTTATCATATATAACAGTACCACAACACCGGGACCAGTAAATAGGGGGCGCAGATCGGCACCGGATATCACATACAACGGCTGCTGCCAGTCGTAAGTCCTTTATTGTATAAATGTTAAAATACTCAACTCTATTTCACAACAATGGTGAAACAAGTATTAGCAACTTGTATTGGTCAATCTTGTTGGCCCAGATGGTAGCGCGCATGGGTCTGTGTGTGGAAGGAAACCGGTGTTACAAGAGAAAGAAAAGTCACCGTTTATACAAAATTGGGTCCCCTTTGCCTAAGTATGATCCGTACGGAATTTAGTCGAAATCTACTCGACCGTTTAGGACAAGTAGTGTTTTAAAGGAAAAGTTGACGGACGGACGGACGACGGACGCTGCTGCATGGCATAAGCTCAGTTGCCCTTCGGGCAGGTGAGCTAAACATAAAAGAGTATTGGTTCATTTTTAATTGATAATAAATAAAGTTTGTATATCATAAACCCTGCCAATACTCCAAAGAAATCCGTATGGCCACCAAGGTAACGTCAAACCTCGGTGACTAAAATATTTACGAGCAAAGTCTACCATTTTGCATCACATTCGGTTGCACCTTTTATATTTGGTAATTGATACTGCATGACAAAATGGATTGCATTTCCCCATTCAGCTGTCTCGTATTTCTAGCATTCACGAAGTATGCAAGGAGTTGGTAAACATGTTATGTGTCCTTCTTGTAACTTGTTGGTACCGAACTGGACGTGCTTCATATCAGATTATATTTTGTTTCTGTTTTCAGGAACACCTTCTTCATCAGTCCAGTTTTCAAGATAAATTTGTTTGGCGTATCGCGCGAGTTTGTCTCACTACAGAACGCACGACAGTTTTTCCAGACCGGAAGTTGCCAGTAAGTCCTCTTGAAATCAAAACAATTTCAGAAAGCTAAACTCAGACGACAATATCAAAGTGGAAAATGCGAGCATTGTAAGATTATTTGAAATCATGTAAAAATAGATTCTTCAAATTATAAACCAGCAGCGATTGAGAGCGGTTGACAGTGACCCTGAAATGATGGTGGATGCCGGTTAAATAACGACATCAGAAAAATAATCCCTATTGTTATTAAATTATGATTGTTTCCTCCTAGTTTTGCTATATAAACCGTACATAAAGTGGGAACACACCAATATAACCCTTTTTCTGAAATTAGAGTTTCCCTTTTTCATTTATCCGTGATAACAGTGAAACATCGAATTCTTATTGAGTATCAAAGTTGTACTGAGTTTATATTATTTTACTTCAAGCTTAGTATATAACTGCTGATTGAACCAGAGAAATAATTAAAACCCTTTAAAACCGCGAACGAAACACGCGTTAAAGAGTTACACTTTCACTGTAGAAAGAATTCAAATTTGTTTTCCTATTCCAGATTTGCAATCGGCTGTACGGGTTGTACTTGTATGATGTCACAGGAGATTGACACCGCAGTTGTGTATAAACCAGGTGAGAATGGTGACACAGCTGATGACATAGACGATACAGAAATTGACACGTTCTACTTTGAGAAATGTTGTAAATGTATCAATGTTGGGACATAGATCTAATCAGATATTGAGGAATCCGGCCCAGTGTGTGAGGTTCCATCCCGAAAGGAAATAATTTATCAACGTTACTTCGATCAGCACATCCGCGATTATTAAGTTGGAATATATGAGGGGTGCGAGAAAATTTAGGCAAATCTTAACAAATGCCGCTTCGTTCGGAGTAAACGCCAACCCCTTCGCAGAACCTGGTTTTGCTCCCTTTTTCTATCCTTTTTCAAATAGTTCGTGATGATCGTCTGAATCGGCTTGACAACGTTATCAATTATCAACTATATTCGTCTCGTTGATTGTTTTCAGTCTGCATATCTAACTTAAATGATACACAATCTTCGCAAGATTTGGCAATACATATTGCAAATCACTTTGTTCCCAAAATAATGGAGACACGATATATAAATTAATCGCACCCCTTATCATCAGTACATTAATTGTCCTCGCATGATTTGATTATATATACACATTGCAAACCAGTTTGTTCACACAATTAATTCGTACCCGTTACCACATCCTCGATACTTCAGGGGTTGTGGTCACTTTTCGCTCTGTGCCTAGTGTACATGAAAAGGTCAGATTTGTCTTCTCGTCTCATATATAAGGTGGTACACACCGAGCTTTCAATTTTGCTTTGAAATATCAGTGTGCAGAGAGCGTAACGAGTATCTAGGATGCCGTTACCATAACAAAAATGTTTTCGCAAGATTTGACTATATATATATATGCATAATTAGAATGCAGAATCAGGAAATACCCTTAGACTGATATTCGCTCATCTTACCATAATATTATAATGGTAAAATGTAAGAGATATCCAACTGGACAATTACGAAAATCAAAGTAAAATAATTTTGTGACCCAGTTTTTTTCTCTCTCGTGCTTAAACTTTGATTTCCGATTTCATCCTAGTGGTACGCCTAGTAAGTCAGTGAAGCTGAAAGTTGATGTGTAATAAAAACAAGCGAAAGATACATTTTTTTTATTTCATAACTTTGTTTATTTCAAATAAATCCACTACAGTAATAATGGCATTACTATATACAGAGAAACAGGCTGTAGTGCCGCACGACTCCCCGTAACTAATTTGTCTACATGCATAAACGTTTGAATTCGACACATCCCATTCCTGACGGACTGTAGACAAAAATAACGATGTCGATCTCGTCATAAACGGGTGTAGTTACACAGAGCAGTTACAACCAGTACTGTGATACTATTACCACCGGTCTTAGTACCAAACATCGAAGTAGTATAGCGACGACTGTGATATGATAGCGTTTTCAACCTATCCCGCAGAGAAGCAGGGGCACAAGGAACAATGAGAGAAGTTTTGAAATGTGACCAGGCTTATCTAGTTGTGCAGTTACATGATGATCAGTAAGAGAGTTACTGCCGAAATCGTCAAGCTGTGATGTTTTTATGCATTACTGGGTAAGTGTTTTACAGTAACAAGAATCAATTTAACTCATTCACCCCTAAAATTTCATAATGAACTATTCCAACCTTTGAATTGGAAGAGTACAAATGTGCCTCCAGGGGTAAACGGGTTTAGGAACTTAACCAGGTGAATCTACGGAAAGATAGTACTTGCTTCCTAACTATGACCAGTTTCATATGAATTTATCTTTGGTGCAGGAAATGTGGGTTAATGTATCTCTGGGCCAAGGATATTAAATTCAGGATCAATGAAAGGCGAGGTCCTGCTTGGACCGGATATTAAAAGGACGAGTTAATATTGTTTTCCCTGAGACATGAACGTAATGCTTTTCGACATAAAATTCATGGTAAATGGCTGGCATGGAACAACTTACCCAACTTAATCAATACTATCCCGAGTGTACTCTGGCCCTGACACCAGACTTAGACATTTTGACAGATAGATGTCTGGTGTGGGGAAACTCGGTCTAAATAAATACCTCATTCGTTTTTTTCTGATAAAGATTGTATGCTACCTTATAGTTTCACATTATACCTACACAATATAACTGTTCGTATTATCTCCATGTGAGACTGCACTTCTTAAATTTGTGTCATTTTACTTCTTAAAAGTTTAAAGTTTTACCTTTGATTTCGTATAAGAATTGTCTCCTTTCAAACTTAACATTCTATGAATTATATTAGTAACCTCCCTTTACAAGCGTTACGTTATATCTTCTGTAAGCTCGCACGTATGCCAGTTATCTCCCTTTACACGATATACCTCTGTACTTTGTGCAAGAGTTATTTCCCTTACATTTAATCCCTTTCATATCATAAATGTACAAATTGTTTAAGAATCATCCCTATCAAAATCGGTGAATTTGCACTCTCTTTTGAATACATTCACGACAGTGGTATGATATCTATGATATATAGAAGTGCTGCAATCAATGGGTTGTTGAAATGATTTTAAAATGATAACTTTTGACTTTATGAGGTGTTAGCATCACTATACAACACATGAACTCATTCTGATACTTAGAGACGTATAAAGTAGTATATACGTCTCTGCCATACTTGAACCACCAAATGGGATATAGCTTATACAGGAAGGTATGTTCACAATCAAGCTACCATGTTCCAGCCCTTGACAAATAGAGGATATAAATTCTGTCAATCTTACACATCCTCTTATGAAATTTACCTAACTTACATTAACATACCGTGTAATCCATATCTGTTTCTAATCTGATCTGATTTTAGTACATTTCGTGGTAAAAATATGTACATTTCAAGTTATTTTCATACTTTCATTCCTATAAAAAGACTTGCTATCTGATAATCTTCACATAACAGTGAACATAGACTTCAGCTTTTAAAGTTATAATCCAGTGTCCTATTTCTACATTGTATAAGCATATAACATGTTACCTTTTCATAAACTGACATTTTTGGTCTGATGTGAAGATTTCATTTTTCAATGATCTCAGATTTTCCTTTTTCTGATGGAAATCAGCTTAGAAATATTAATTATTGATGTTTTGTTTGATGTTTGGTCTAATATGAATGAGCTAACACCGGAGAATTTGTAACAACTTGTAACATTAAAATGATAGATTTTCACTGTGTAACAAATTTCACACTTGTCACGGTTTTTGTACTCAAAATCAACAACGCTCCATAGTTTTCCTTCAGGAATTCTATCTATTGATTGTTTTTATGGATTTCTGTTGGTATTTTTATAACATCTTTTTCTCAAAACTTATAATATATTTTTGATGAACCTTACACTATAAGGTTTTTCATGGCTACTACTATGGACTTTGACGCACAACATTTTGAGGCATTTTTAACTTGAAGCCTTGACCTCTGTGCTGATAATTCAATATCAAATATACCACATATATCTATTAATAACAACAACTTAATGTAATATTTTTAAATTTCGTTTTTAGATTTGACAATAATCAATATATTGACTAAGTTCAAATATAGCCAACTTTGAAATTAATTATTTCAGGAAAACAAATATTTTTACCTGACTTCAAACTTTCAACTATAGTGTCCATTGAAATTTCCTGTAAATTCCTGTGACCCATTAATACAAGGTCATTCTGAGGTCATTTAAGTTCATCCATGTTTCTTGCATACAGTACGACCTTCACCGGATACATTGTATACACTACACTGGGCAACACAGTACAAAGGAAAAAAGTACATCAGATCTATATACATGGCCTGATGGCATTAATCACAAAACAGCAGTATAAATATGAATGATATGCAAAACACATCTCATTTTTAGTATGAATATGCATGAGATGCAAATGCATACCTCACTGTCAGTATGAATATGCATAATGAGATGTATCAATGTACATCCCATTCCCAGCATAATTATGTTTAATATTTAATTCTAACTTCATCTCCAACACAAAATTTGGGATATACTGTTAGCCATATTTCCAGGAGAGGACAAAATGGCGGCCATATTGTCAGTCAAGGTGTGGAAGATAATTTGACGTTGCTACGGCAACAAAACATCAACAATGATATATGTTGGCATGGCAACAGGTCGCCAACACTGATACCTGACAGTGCCATGGAAAACTCGCAAGAGTATGATTTTTTGATGATTAATGATGGTTTGAACAATTAGCAGTTGAATGTTTTTTATCACATTTTCACAACATGACACTCCTACAATCTAGTGATTTCACCAACGGTTATGTGATCCATGGACCCTGACAGCCCTAACCACCTGAGATACGACATTGGATTAATAAGGTGAAGGTTTTATAAACATTAGAATTATATATAACAGATCATGTCCTGAGCAGTCACAATATCACTATACTTTATACAACAGTCAAACCTTCTAATGTTGACCTTTTACAGTCGAAGGCATATATTCCGTCTTTGCATATTGCAGAGTTATCTTCCCTTGTGAGCAGGTGTTGATTGTTACGTCATTGGTTTGTGTGAGAAAATTACGTCGTTTTCTCAAAAATCGATGACGCTACTCTCACAAACAAATGACGTAACAATCAATACCTGCTCACAAGTGCAGATAACTCTGCAATACGAAAAGACGGAATAGTCCAATACCTGACTGTTTTGAACAGTTGAAAATAGTTAACCCTTGAAATATTTACCTTGAAAAATAAACAAGAAAAAATCCTTGTCATACACACGACGGCTACAAATTTTTAAACTTAAATATTTTGAAAACCAATGTTTCCACTACAAAGATCCAGTTCACGTAACTGGGCAGTAGTATTCCTGTTTACATATTTACATCGACGTCAACATTTTCTGATACAAATCAAACAGTATGTATTCATCAACAGTGTCTCACAAATCGTTTTTACTCTCTCATGTCATCACAAGAAACACAAACACGCTATCCCTGAATGTTGGTATATAATGAAAACATCTTTAAAATTGAACCTTTAAAAAGGTAAAAACAGTCTTGTGATCCATCTTGACCAATATATCAATGTTTTCATTCATTCCCACAAATGTTATTGGTAATATTCAAACTAAGATTGTAGGCATTTCTGAATTGAAATTCCCCCCAAAATACAATTAATACATGCAATCACAAAGACACTTGAATAAAACATCAGTAAACTAACAGTATTTCATAATGAGCACATTGGTTTGAAATAGTAACTTAACATATTTTGCATTTGGGTAATTTTAAATTACCTTTCATGTTCCAATCCAAGTCTATTTGGATGTAATATGTTTTTGTTTAAAAAAAAAATAATAAGATGCCAATGTACATTTTAAATTCAAAGAAAATTCATGAAAAACAATCTGGAAATATTACTAACAACAGATGTAACCTTACGTAACAAACAAAAAACACCAATAAGATATGCTTTTAAATAACAACGATATATTTGCCAAGAGGGATCCGTTTAAATACAAGACACTGCATAAAACAGGAAATGTCATTTAGTAAATTATACAAATGGCTTCATTTATGATATATATATACAATTATAGTACATGATTGAAATATAAGAATCACTTTTGAGTTCTTCTGAGGTAGAATGTGTTCTTACAAATAATATCAAAACGTATAACTTTAGGGCGATACAGTCTTATTGCACAAAACATCAGAACGGACAAGAAAAGGAGGTACCGTATTTCTATATATAAACAACCCCTCCCGAATACTTCAGAGGATATTTCACAGGTTCTTATGGAAAACCATCTATGTTTCATGAGTACGGTAGAATACTTATAAGTTTGATAAGAGTGAATGTTATCTTGTTCAGTGGAAAAATAGTGAAGTTTTCTATGTATAACATTTTGAAGCATGAAGATCAGAACATTACTGCATTTAGCCCTTTAACCACTGTAGACCATAATGGACCCATCTCAATAAATGTATGGTAGAGTCCACTAAAATTACCTAGGGATGAAAGGGTTAGTTTATAGGCTGGTATGGGAATCAGTTTTGTAATATCCAGCACGATGTTCTGAAAATGTCATTTTTATTTTACTCAGTCTAAACTTATCGTCTGTCAAATATAGCAACTAGAACCTACATGAAAAGTCTTATAAACATTGTTTGTTCAGAATGTATATCTATGTTATAGAAACAACACAACTTGAAACACTTTCACGACCAAGAATGTGGCTTTTCTGACAGTTACCACTTATAATGTCATAACCTAACAGTGTGTTTAAGTTACTTTTTTTTTGTAACAATATCCAACTGCATCTTTAAAGTCCAACTTCTGGTTCAAAAATACACTATTTTGATGCCCTAATATAGCTTTATGTTAAAGTTAAACTTTTTTTAACAATATCCAACTGCATGTTCAAAGTGTGTATTAATCTTTTTTGATGATTCTATCCATCAACCATTTTAAAGTTACATTTCTGGTATGTACCACTGTCCAACAACTGGCTCAGAGTTACACTTTTCACCAGTCCAACTACTGGCTCAAAGTTACACCTTTTCACCACTGTTCCACTATTGGCTAAAAGTTACACTTTTCATCACTGTTCAACTACTGGCTCAAAGTTACACTTTACACCACTGTCCACTACTGGCTCAAAGTTACACTTTACACCACTAGCTGGTCCACTACTTGCTCAAAGGTACACTTTTCATCACTGTCAAACTACTGGCTCAAAGTTACACTTTTCACCACTACACAACTACTGGTTTAAAGTCAAACTTTCCCTATTAATTCAAGTAAATATGTCAGTAACGTTCTTTTTTTAAAGTGACCATTTTCCCACCAGAAAACGTTTCCCTAGAGTGTAACTAAGTCTCCCTTGAACTCTCATCATAATGCTTTACAAGCAATATAATGACACAATCAATGGCACGAACATAATGCTACATTTTACTTTACACTTATTTGTTAGTTCAGTAAGAGTTAGCTCCCTTAGAAAAATTTTGATTAACATTTCTAGTAATAAGTCCACCTAAAACAAATCAAATCCTTCATTCTGTTACTTTGAGGTCAAGTTCTGTCGACCTTTTCCTTTACCCAATCAGTATGCTGCTTTTGAAAATGATAAGTATCGAAAAAATTGTGTATATAATACAAGCATCATAGTACATACTGTGTATATAATACCAAGCAACATAGTACATACTGTGTATATAATACCAAGCAACATAGTACTAAGTCACCAGAATGCACTTAATGACCCTACTGCAGTGCTGCAGGATCTAACACAATAACTGGAACGGAGAGAAGGATTTGATATGAATCAGATTGATAATAATTCAGAGTTAACTTGAGCATTATGCTGGCTTTATATGTATAAATCAAGTGTTAGTAGATTAGTATGTTTCCTGAATCCATTTTTATCAGGCACATTTCACAAACTTCAAAGTGTATTTATAACACTTTTAGAAACAATGAGGAATCATCTAACCTTGAAGCTTCGTCAGTGTCAAGTGATGTTTTAAAACATCATTTCCTTTTGTCCTTTAGAACTCAGCTTCATATAGAATAAATATTTTTGTGTTTCATATCCAAGACTTTGCAGAAAAATAGTACCAGTTTCAACACACAATTCATCACCATGAAAAGTAGAGTTTGTGTAACAAAAAACATCCTGGATTAAGACCATATCACCGTATATTTAATTTAGGTATGATATCCCTGGTGTAAACATCAAGGCAAGCAGACATTCTCTGATCTGTCTAACATCTCAATGATCAAGGGAGGTAATTCGTCCGGCATTTCTAATCTCAGATGAAGCACCCTTTCTGCTCCTGTAATAAATTTAAAAAAATATATATATATTTTTATCAACAATAGTAAACTGATAATTTGTGAGATTTATATTTTATTTATGAAATATGTAACTAATATAATTATTGAATGAAAAAGAAAAAATTCAAGTCAACCATGACATGTCATATATTCTTCCAGGTCAGCGCAGTCTTTACTAACTTTACGTTACTAACTTACTAAAACCCCAGGACTGATATTTGGCTGTAATCTACCAACTAAATCTTCTTTCGCAAAGCTAAACAAAACCCTTAGGTGCAAAGTTAGGCAATTAGGCATTTCTGTAAAACACCTCCTCTAAAAGAGGGTGGTGTAATGTTAAACACAGAAATTCCATTACCAGATACAGAGGTTTCAATGTGAATTTTGAAGGAAAAGGTTGTGAGCTTGAGAGTAAATAAAAGGGGTGTCACAATATGCGACGAGTGTATCACGATATATTGCAATACAGAATGAATATATTGCGATACGTATCCCGATATATTGTCATTGGAAGGAAGTGCACAATTATATAATAAGTTGTTGTCAGAATGTTATCAAATTTAATCATATATAATATGGATTACATAGATTCAAGATTTTTGTCAAAACAACCATTGATTACAAAATTTGAACTTTTAAAAGCCTGCTTTATGCTTATTGGCATATCTATTAGAATTTGAAGTAATTTGCAAAAATATGCTTTTGAAAAATATTGCGATATAGCAATATCTCATCTCTGTATTGTGGTACAATATGATATACTCGCGTATTGCGATATACCTGTTTTCCTATATATTGGGGCAGCCCTAGTTGATATTAATAATTAGTGGTTGTTAAAGGTAGTCTCAAAGCAGTTCACAAATTATTATCCGTGGTTTTTGGGCCTTTACAACCAAACCAATATCTTTCTCAACTCCCTGAGGAGCATACAGTCCATGCTGCCATTAAGGCACTCACAGCTAGCATTCAACAATTCTAGCACTGCCCAATCACATACTCATTTACAGCTGAGTAGACTGGAACAAGCAGAGTAAAGCATCTTGTTCAAGGATACAACAGAGTGCCATATGACTGGATTCGAACCCGCAACCCTTTAATCAAAAGCCCAGTGTCCTATCACTAGACTACCATGCCTGAGTTGAATGCAGAATGTTAAATGTATGACTCTGTTTGGCAAAATGATGAAAACAATTGGCATGTTTAAACAAGGTTAGTTTAATGAGCTTGTTCAAGGCTTATAGCTGGCAGTATATGTAGTAGAGTCATATAAGTATATTGTAGTTGGACTGTTTGGTGAAACCCATTCTACTCTTTGCTTTCACACCAAGCCATGTACCTTTCACACTGATGCTGCGCAGGTCCGTCACCTTCATTAACATCTTGGCCCATGTAATTGGTTGATCTTTCCGCCTCGTCCGGATGTAATGTTTCAAGGCCTCGAGAATAGGTTCCTGCATTTCTTCAATTTTCTGTGGATTTTCTAAACCGGATCGATCTGAAAGGATGAAATATCGATACAAATACCACTGCTGCAGATAATACCCATGTTTTCGAAGATTTCATTCAGGACAGAGTGTTCATAGGACTGTCTGTGCAGTGTAAAAAATACCATTTCTCCAGTGAATATTGCTCAAATGTTAGATTCAATTATTACTCAAATGTTTGATTCAATTAACAAAATTCCAATATGAAAGAATAACTGATCCTTTAAGTTACGGAAAGTAGACGTTAAACAAAACTGAACTTCTCAGTTGGCGCCACACTCGTCATTTATTGTAAGGAGGTTAACGCCGGTTGAAAAGTTCCGTTATCGGGCGAACCATTTTACTTCTGTACACACAATAAATTTGACATTTGTCATAAAAGTCATTATTTCTCATTGGTTTACATTTGCTGTATGTGTTATATGGATCAGGTGTGAGTGCATGGAACATATATGGACAAAGGTGCAAATTTTAGCACAGAATTGATAAAACTATTGCTCAACAATATGGAAGGAGGTTGGTGAAATTTGATAAAATTATTGTTCAACAATATGGAAGGAGGTTGGTGAAATTTGATAAAATTATTGCTCAACAATATTGAAGGAGGTTGGTGAAATTTGATAAAATCATTGCTCAACAATATGGAAGGAGGTTGGTGAAATTTGATAAAACTATTGCTCAACAATATGGAAGGAGGTAGGTGAAATTTGATAACATTATTGGCTGAACAAAACCAGAGCAATACTTTGTTGATACCATTCTACTCCTTGAACAAGTGACATTTGACACAGCGAACTCGACGTCGTCCAGTGACCTACCTCCACTTATTAAACACACAGCTGATAACACGGCGAATTCCATGTCATCAATTTCCAACATTTTGAGAGAGGAAGCAAATTTAAATATTGTCTCTGTTAGTGATCCAAAACCTCCATTTTGTAACTGATCGCGGTCGAGAGTAAGTCCGCCACTAAACATCATCACATCCTGGTCGAGGTTGTACCGGGAACATAATCGTAATATCTGCAGAAAATCAGCACAAGAAAATTACTACTGGGCTTGTAAAACAAATCAAAATTATTTTTTTTAAATTCAATTTTAAAAACAATTGAGAAACAAAACATTTTGATTGCAGCTCATAATGGCTAATCAATTTCAAAAAGGGTCAGTTTTGTCTATAAGGCAAAACTGAACTTTTTGTTCAATTTAAAGTTTATTTGAAGAATCTGATTTGGAAGAACCTTTAATATCTGTTTTCTGTAAAAGACATAAAATAAATAAGATAGTTTCCCCTTTAATGCCATATATATTTACAAGTGAAACAGAACACTTCAGTATTTTCAAGAGTGTGCTAGCACAAGTGTAATACATATATATGATATTATATAAATGTATGTTCTAGAAGAGGAGACGGTCAAATATTCAGCTTTTTTTATTTTTTTTTAAACTTTGAAATGAAGCTGGTTACCCTGAAACAAACAATCTCTTTTCACTGTTGGAAAGGAGCCCAGTCTCAGACTTCTAATACACCTTAACCGAAGCCTATGCCAAACAAGTATAATTTAAGCATTCTGATTGGGTCCTATATTCATTAGTTTTGTATTCTCTATTTCATTATAGTTTAAATCTTGAGTAAGTCTTCCTGCAATGCAAATAACAATTTTAATGAAAAATTACTGATATTTCACTGGCAAAAATGCAGGAGAAGAGCATCATTTCACATTCACAACTTACCATTATTTCTAAACAGGCTGCCTTTAGTAACGTAATTTGATCGGACGAGGAAAGGGAGGTAAATCCAGAAATCTTTTTTGCGAATTCCACTATTTTAATAATCCCTTTGGATGAAAGTTCAGTCACACGTTCCCATAACATTAATTTCACAGTTTGCTCTTTGTCGTCGTCGTCCTTATTATCCTGTTGCTAAAGTAAATAAAAAGATTAAAAAAATTAGCAATAAAACACCAAATTATTTCATTCCCATAAATTGTACATGATTATCATGAAACTGTGAACCAATTTACTCAACAAAATTATATTAAGAAACTTTGAATCAAATCAGTATCAAATGTAGTTCTGATCCTTAAGATTTTCACAATACAGTTAAAATAAATAAAAATAAAGATGGAAGATTATTTGATGTGTGGACAATTAAAGATTCTTTGCATCAAATGATTGTAACAGCTTTTTTGAAAGAAAAAGAAAGAAAATGTGTTTCTTGTATGGGTAGGATTAACAGGGAGCACTAAACTAAACTAAACCAATTAACTTTTCCTGTCACACTTATTTCTCGATGGAATGAGAGAAAGGTGGAATTTTAAACATATTTTTCATTTTAATCTCATCTTGTCTAATACTTTGCATGCAATGGTTTTTTTTGGAACATTCATGTAACAAATTGTCATATTTAGAACCCTTCTGATGTATCTTTGTATTAAAATGTTTAGAAATAATAATATGTAAAAAGAAAATACAACATTTTTACGTAAACATTTCAGCAAAGTTGAACAATTTTTTGGGGCGCTTTGAAATTTGGAAAACCTAGGCCTCTGAGTCAATGTGCACTGCACTTTTCTAATTATTTTATATACTTATTCTGTATAGGAATCGCTTCAATTGGTACACATTCAAAATCATCATTAACCCGTTCACCCCCATGAAACTTAGAAGACTCTACCATGCTTTGAACTGGATGAGTCCATTATGATCTACAGTGGTGAAATTGTTACCAAAAAAATAAAAAATGGTGGCTATATCTTCAAGCCTCAACACTTAAAACCTCATGCAAATTGGCACCACAACATAATGAACTGGTCATGCATAGGAATTTTCATGGACATCCGTCCAGAAGCTTAGGAGTTGACAAACTTTTTCTACAAACGGACAGATGAAAAATTCCAGTTTACCCCCTCCTAATTTTGTTTGAGGGGAAATCAAACATCACAACAAGAGGGCCGACTTCATGCACAAAACTTTAGTTGACATGTCACGCCCTACCTGTTCCCCTTTAATTTGTTTCTCCTCCGAACTGTCCAACACTGGATTCGTACTCACGGGGGACAAGACTTCCTCCTCTATATTTGGAAATGTGGAATTGTGAGCATCGAGTATTTCCTGTAGAATACCCATATCATCGTCCGTTACTTCTTCTGTTGAGCATGCTGTATCTGTACCATCAATTTCGACTTTCATTTTCTTTTTCTTGTTTCGATCGTTCCTTACAGCTGTTGAAAAAATAAAATCCAAAATGAAGTATTTCAGCATTGGGTATCGGATAACAGTCAAAATCTCATACATATTTTATAACAGGAAGGTAACTATACTTGATCCAAGGCAATCAAAACAAAATCTCTGTAATTAACATTTTAGAATTGCAAAATATTTTACTGTGTTTTTTATTATAGAATTTCATATCCAAAATATTAACTTGGTAGTTATCCTTTCATAAATTGCTATTTCCCACAATGCATTGTAGGTTTTATTACTCATGGTCTATAACGTATTCATTTCAGTGTGAAAACGAACTCCACAGTGTGGCATCTCATCGAAGCTTGTAGATATCATCTAAGAATTAACTGAAACTCATTTAAATGGATATAAATCATAAATATGTGGGTATCCTCAAAATATTATCCTCTCAATATTACTTTGTCAAATTTCAAAAGAAAATGTATTGAATTCCTGGGTGATGTTTTTAGCTATGATTCTCTTGTTTAACACTGCCATCTGGCACAGTAAATATGAACGTATACCTCGTGAATGTGAAACTATATGCTAAATAAGATATAACTTCCATTGTTTGTGGGCCCTTGTACCAATAAACAAATGGTCTTATACTTATTCATCTGAAACTAATTAAGTTTTCTATGGTTATATACGCCTTGTCAATACGGCAAATTTATTTTGTAGGTTTTACACAGGTAATGCCATTTTCTGTATCCAGGGGTTCATTCACTTTCTCTCTCTACAGCCCTGGAATATGCCATAGCAAAATCGAAGGCTCAATGTGCAGCACCTTGAGAATGAGACAGGAAGACTAGTTTGGTCCTTTGATGTACATCAAAAGAATCTCGCGGTCATGTAACAGTAAAAATTAACAGGCTTTGAAGTCACTCCTTTGTAATCTTCAAAGGACAAGTATCAGCCTAGTGATTGGTCAGTTTTTTTTACATGGCACCAATCAAATAGCTAGTCGCGTGCCTACTTTTTTGGTACGACATAAACCAGAGGTGTAGAGAGCGAAAGTGAGCGTATAGCCCTGGATATTGAGGATGAGGTAATGCAAGCTTATATCACCTTTCTGAATTCATATATAATGTAAGTTGAAATACGTACAGGTAATATAAGCTCGTATCACCGGGATAAAAACCTGTATACCAAATAGATACAAGAGGCCCATGGGCCTTAACGGTCACCTGATATATTTATACAGAGAGTTGATTTTGTTTTTAACATGAACAGAAATATTATTCAAAGTGACAAAAAACAATAAAACCACCTTACTCAATATCTAGCATACAGATTTCAGACTAAAAAGGATTTGAAACTAGCACCTCTGATTCTTAACAAGGAAAATGAAGAAATTTTAGCACACTGACTCCTTTGAGCCCCACCCTACAGCCCTTGGGGGTAGGGCTGGCTCAAAATTTTCAAAGTATCAAACTGTCAATTNTGAGACCCCAGGGTCAAGAAATTCACAATTTCGGTAAAGCACCTTAAGACCCTTCCATCTATGAAGAGTATTTGATTCTACCATATCTGGGTCTTGAGAAGAAGATTTTTGAAATTTCAGTCAATTCAACCCTTTTTGGCCCCACCCATCAGCCCCTGGGGGTCAGTCAGGGCTCATAGGTGCATACTATCAAACTGCTACCTAATACTGATAATGCTAACCCAGATTGAATTACTTCCAATGGAAATTAAACAAATATTGGTCCAAAATGTGATTTCCCTATATAAACTATAGTAAAGTTTACCCCCTCCCCAGGGGGAAACGTGAGACCCAAGGGTCATGAAATTTACAATTTTGGTAAAGCACCTTAAGACCCTTCCATCTATGAAGAGTATTTGATTCTACCATATCTGGGTCTTGAGAAGAAGATTTTTGAAATATTAGTCAATTTGACCCTTTTTGGCCCCGCCCCTCAGGCCCCTGGGGGCTTAGGACTAAACCGGCATCTATTTTTGTTGACCTTTGTCCATGGAAGGTCCCAGTGAAATTTCATTGAAATTGGTTCAGGGGTTTTGGAGAAGAAGTCGAAAATGTAATTGTTTACGGACGGACGACGGACGACGACGGACAAAAGGCGATCGCAATAGGTCACTTGAGACTTTGTCTCAGGTAACCTAAAAATAGAGATCCGTCAATAGAGAGTAATGGCTATAGTTCTTGCCTTCTTTCGACATTCCTGAGGCGAAACACTTTTGAAGCCGGCAGTATTGACAGCGATTCCGTGTCACTTTGTTGATGGGGCAGTTTTTATCCTTGTGGCAAGTATATTGCATATTTTTTTGTACGCTACGACGGAAAAATCCCTGTAAAGATGAGATCAGAGAGTGAGACATACAAATTCAGAATTGTTTCAGTAAATTGAAATGATGGAGATTTGGAAATTTAAATATCTTGTTTACAGATATCAAGTGACTTTACACACAATGATTTCGACGTTACTTTTATTGAAAAAAAGACAATTATTTCAACACTCAAAAGGGAGCTTACTCTTATTGAAAATACGCATATTTCAACACTAAGAAGGGAGACTATAAGCATATATGTTGCCGCCCTCGACAGACAATATTTCAACACTAAGAAGGGAGATTACTCTGACTGAAAATAAGCATCTACCTTGCAGCCCTCAACAGAAAATCATTTCAACACTAAGAAGAAGACTATAAGCATATACGTTGCCGCCCTCGACAGACAATATTTCAACACTAAGAAGGGAGATAACTCTGACTGAAAACAAGCATCTACCTTGCAGCCCTCACAGGAGCTGACTCCATAGTGATACCCTGAGGATTTGTCGCTACACACGACACATGGTTTGTACATCCTAGGAGGCGGGGGTGGCGACGGGGACAGACTCGTTGTGGACATGTTGCTAGGACTCTGCATCTCTCCATACATCCCCACCGCATCAAACATGGCTGAAACACAAAAATACATTTTGACAAATCATATCACTCACCACATATCTTTTCCATTTAATTAAATTTACCTGGTAAGAGCATAACTGGTACTGACTTTCTGATCAGAAATTAAATCATGTCATATTATGTTTACCAGTCGACTTTCTTTTTAATCAATCATAACCTCCCTTTATATATCCTTTTTGAAGAATCACGTTTTCTATCGCCTACTTATTTCAGCCCCTCTGTTGTCTTCATGTGTGTTTTCTCTTCAGATATTTCATTTTTTAAGCAAGTTAACACATTTACCCCTGAAGACACATTCAAACTCTTCCGATTCAAAGGTTGGAATAGTTTATTTTGAAATTCAGGGATGAATGAGTTAAGGATAATGATTGGATGTCACCGTGGTTTACATTTGGTATAATAATAATAACAACTCGAGGTTCTAATTATATACCGCTTTATCACAACCTAGTTCATAGGTTGTTTCAAAGCGGTTCACAAATTAATATCCGTGGTTATAGGGCCTTTGCAACCAGACAATATCTTTCTCAACTCCCTGAGGAGCATACAGCCGGAGCTGCCATTTTGGTGCTAACAGCTAGCATTCAACAATTCTAGCACTGCCCAACCACGTACTCATTTACAGCTGAGTAGACTGGAACAAGCGGAGTAAAGTATCTTGCTCAAAGATACAACACAGTTCCGTGCCGTGACTCAAACACGCAACCCTTCGGTCACGAGCCTGGCATCCTACCACTAGACTACCGTGCCTATATCTACCCTTGATTACTGGCCCGCCCAAAGCTTGGTTAGAGTAAACCAGTGGTTATAGGGAAAAGTTTCAAAAGTGAATGCAACAAAATTCATAACATCTGTTATCATTCAATGCTTAAGATTTGTAGTGACAGATCAGATTGATGTGTTTTGAAGATTTATCTGCCTTTAAAAGCCCTTGTTTCTTAGTGGCAAAATTTGATTTTTTCACTAACCACTGGTTTATGTTAACTGACCAAGCCAGTCCAGCACTGGGCCATCTGCTTGGTCCAAAATATGTGTTCAGGGATATATCTGACCGGTGAAAAAGAATACGTACTGGGAGAGATGGTTAGTCATAAGTTATATATATCACAGGGGATTTTATTGGTCCAGATTTATATGTTCAAGGAGATCTGATATGTCTAAATATTTATAGAACCATAAGTCTGATATATAGTAACCTAGTACAACTTTTTTCCCACTCAGCGTTCCCTTTACTTACATTTATGTGGATTTGGGTGGTGCTGAGGTAGGTATCCCTGTTTCTGGTTGTATATGTACTGGTCATAGGCATTGGGCGGTAAGTATCCTCCATGGTCCATACCAGGGTCAAGGCCATAGGGGCTATCACTCATGGCAGCTGGAAAAGAAGCAAAGGTCAAGGTCAAAAGTGGGTAAGTCAGTAAAAGCTTGATGCTTCCAAAGCGAAACAGCGTTGGATATATCAGGTATATCTTCTACCCAAAATAATGGCATGCTTCATATCTATCACGTTTGAAATCAAGCAAAAGGTCTAGGTCAGTGTAAAGTATGAAGAATGATAAGTTTAGCACTCATAATTAATGAAGGGTGTGTTGGATGTACAACACCTTCTAGTTATGATAATAATGTAAGACTTGTCCAAATCCACTCATAGGATCCGGTCAGACAATCCAAGGTCAAGGTCAAGGTCAAAGTGATAATTTCTATGAAAATTAATTAAGGATCCTTGTCCCACTGTATGTAGGCATAGCACTAGAGAGTTCTTCTGTAGTGTTTTTGTACATTAACCTTCCCTTAATGTTCCCTTTAACCCTTTCACCACTGTAGACCATAATAGACTCATCCATATCAATGCATGGTAGAGTCTACTAAAGGTACATAGGGGGGTGAAAGGGTCAATATAACTGTAACCCAACTATAGCAGGGTACAACTGTTGACCGAGTACTTCAGACAGTATTATGATGGGGGTCTGAGTTCGAATCCTGGTCTGCTTATGCTGCTTATACTGATTCCCAAACTTTTTTGATGCATTGACATGTTTGTTGGTTACTATCATAGAAAATACATTGAATATTTATTGTTTTTTCCATTGAATACCAGATATATGTTATGTGCATCTGATATTGTAGTGTGAAAATATTGGTGCATTTAATTCTGCCATACTTATAGCCTCTGTAGAATACGGTGCAGAATGACCCTGGAATTTTACGTAAAGATAACAGGTACAACTAAATACCCGTGGTCATATACAGGTAGGTAATGATTCTTCCCCTACTGATTTAGCACTACATATCAATGTCACCTTGACTTTTGAGTAGATGTACATATATATGTATACTCTGCAACATATAGTATGATATCACGCATCAAAGATTACTCCACTCGTGATACATGCTATTACGACACTTTTGTGACCGATTTAAATTGTGTTTTGTGATGTGTTACATAACAGTGCAGTATAATGTGTGCACCTTCCAGCGTACACCTATCAAACCCAGGTCTCTGCTGCGTTGATGTTTAACTCATTCACCCCTGAAATTTCATAATGAACTATTCCAACCTTTGCATTTGAAGAGTTCAAATGTTTATTCAGGGGTGAATGAATTAAAAAAGTTCACCTTATTTTTACATGCCGGTTCAAAATATATGTACAATCAGTACTCAATCTTATTCTCTATTTTTATCTATGAGAAAGAGGGCCACACAGGCCGTGTGGTAAATGCATTTGACCATCTAAGACCACTAGCCTTCCACCACTGGGTCAAGGATTCGCGGCCTACGTGAGGCATTCACCAGGTACTTTGTACAGGTCAATGTTTTTTTCTCCAGGTACTCCAGTTGTCCTCCACCACCAAACGTTTGCATGTCCTTAATTGACCCTAGCAGTTAATTGGACCCAAAGCACAAACATACAAACAATTTCTATGAGAAAGTCTGAAAATTAAAATGGTTGTTATCACATCTCTCACATACCAGCTATCTTGTGCGCAGTCATAGTTATAAAGCTTCATTTAACATCAAGTCTCTAATGGCAATACCAAAGAAACATACAAAGGGGACACAACTCTACCACTACTATTTATTTAACTAGAATAACCCTAACATCCCATTATAAAAGAATCAACAGAGTCCATACCCACCAGTTGAATGGAGAACAGGACATACCCACCAGTTGAATGGAGAACAGGACATACACACCGGTTGAATGGAGAACAGGACATACACACCGGTTGAATGGAGAACAGGACATACCCACCGGTTGAATGGAGAACAGGACATACACACAAGTCCAATGTAGAACAGGACATACCCACCAGTCCAATGGAGAACAGGAAATACCCACCAGTCCAATGTAGAAAAGGACATACCCACCAGTCCAATGTAGAACAGTACATCCCCACCAGTCCAATGGAGAACAGGACATACCCACGAGTCCAATGGAGAACAGGACATACCCACCAGTCCAATGGGGAACAGGACATACACACCGGTTGATTGGAGAACAGGACATACACACCGGTTGAATGGAAAACAGGACATACCCACCAGTCCAATGTAGAACAGGACCTACCCACCAGTCCAATGGAGAACAGGACATACCCACCAGTTGAATGGAGAACAGGACATACCCTCCGGTTGAATGGAGAACAGGACATACCCACCAGTCCAATGTAGAACAGGACATACCCACCGGTTCATAGGAGTAACTGTTTGAACTCTATTGTTTATTTGATGCAATGCCCTTTGGGAAAACAGATTTTGAGAGACAACCTATCTCATTGGTTTGAGTGACAATTTGCCTGTCACAGATATTACATGTCAATATGAAGGACATGCACTTGCTCCAGAAAATGGTCCATTTGTAAAGGTCATGCACAAGTTGCAGAGGACATTCTACCTTAATACTAGAAAGAAAACATATACTAAGGTGAAAATTTCTAAACATTTCATCAGTCCATGGCCAGTAGTTTGGGAACAGATCAACCAAAAGAAGGCAGGCCACTCCATTTTATAACCCCATTGAGCTGAAGGATCTACCATTTCATTTTTGTTGAAATTTGTCCAGTTCTTTCGCATGAATGCTTTTTTTATGCAAATCAACCTATGTGATCCCTAAAGGACTCTGCCCCCCTTTATTTGTTTATAACTGTTGATCCCCATGGCCCAAGGATTCTAAATTTGGCTAAATTCCGAAAAGTTTAGGAAAAGATGTTGAAAAACTGAAGTAGACAGATATTCAGGATAAAATGAATGATGAAGGACAGACGAAACATCACATAAAAATGAAGGTGAAAAATCTTGATTTTCCGTCTGAATACAGAGGCTCGGTTAATGTACACTGTATGCTAAATATTTCTAAATTTTGTTTGTGTTATTGATCGAAAGGGACTGAAGAGTTCTGGTAAGTAGAACTTGACACTGTGCCAATTGCCAGACAAACAGGGCTGTGCAAATCATGATCTCCACAGCTTTCAGGTCACATCTGTTCCCTGTAGATAGTAGGATATGCTTACAAAGTATGACCACATATGTTACATAAAACAAAAACCATAAAATTTGTGTACATTGTACTTATATCATTATCTGTATATATATTAATATTCATACGAAATTTAAACCTCTCTTTATATGACCCTAGCTTTTCTGAGGATGTTAAACCCAAATTAAAAAAATAATGGAAAAAAAATTATACCAAATACTGAACTCAAGCTGACTTTTTTTAATATCCCCATAACAAAATATGAATCATGAATGGGACAATCGGGGTCGGTGGTGGAGGTTGTATTACAGACTCCATTGTAAATCACGTTGATCATGACTCCTACATTACTTCAATGGTCTTTAAGCATAATTGATACAGACTTTTGGTCAATTTTTCTTTTTCAAAAACTGGTGAAAAAGGATCCTGGTAAAAATGAACCAAGGGTGATAACTGTGTATATACAGTGAAGCAAAAAGGCACTAACTTAGAATGCAACACGCTACCATCCCAAAAGGTGCTCCCATACAAAATTACAATTACAGGTGAACGAGTTTTTTTTAATTAACCCCTAGACAAAGTGACAAACACATCCATAGACTGTCTTGATCTATGACGGAAAGATGCAAACACAAAAGGCATCCCATTCGGTAGTACAGAACCAGTTTATAACAAGAGGCCCATGGGCCTTAACGGTCACCTGAGTCCTACAGTATTTATTTTTGTTGTTGAAATATGTACCAATTTGAGTAAAAAATAGTTAAGTATAATGTTAACTTAACTTTGTCAGGACCATGAGCTGATCATTCCTAGACCGATTTTAAATAAGATCGGCCTATTAGAAATTGTTTTTAAGTTTAGAATAGGTATTTACAAAATAGCGGCTGTGGTGGCCATATTGGATTTCTGATTGACCTGAAAAATAACAACACTTTGTCAGGACCATGAGGCGATCATTCCTACCAACTTTCAGTTCAATCGGTCCAGCAGAACTTGACTTTAAGTTTGAAATAGGTTTTCAAAATGGCGGCCGTGGCGGCCATATTGGATTTCTGATCGACCCGAAAAATAACAACACTTTGTCAGGACCATGAGGCGATCATTCCTACCAACTTTCAGTTCAATCGGTCCAGCAGAACTTGACTTTAAGTTTGAAATAGGTTTTCAAAATGGCGGCCGTGGCGGCCATATTGGATTTCTGATCGACCCGAAAAATAACAACACTTTGTCAGGACCATGAGGCGATCATTCCTACCAACTTTCAGTTCAATCGGCCCAGCAGAACTTGACTTTAAGTTTGAAATGTAAAATGTTAACGGACGACGGACGACGGACGACGGACGACGACGGACGAAAACGGATAGCAATAGGTCACTTGAGCTAAAGCTCAGGTGACCTAAAAACAAAAACCATAAAATGTGTGTACATCGTATTTATATCATTATCTATATATATTAATATACATACCAAATTTAAACCTCTCTTTATATGACCCTAGCTGTTCTGAGGATGTTAAACCCAAATAAAAAAAAAGGGAAAACATAATATACCAAATACTGAATTCAATTTTTATAAGCTGACTTTTTTTAATATCCTAGTACAGAACCAGGATTAATAAGTCCCGATGTGGACTTAGGGTTCAGTGTGAACTATATAGTGGAATCAGCAAGATATACACTTATACACTGACGTGTCTACCGAAACATGTCAACAATGAAACGTCTACTGTAACAGAGTCCTTGGTGTTGCGATGCTCCTTCACTTACTTTATTGAATTTATTACTCTTGGATGGAGCTCTGTTTGAATACCCTTGTGATATCCACCTCGGATTCCCGAGTACCGGACAGACCACAGACTATTGTCCGTAGGATGTTGGATCTCCGTGCCGGATAATTGTGTTGGTTTACCAACATTTTTATTCTACTTTTTCTTATACACTGACTGTATATATCTAGGGATCACCAAACACTGTAGGCATTGGAAGCTGTTTTTGGCTATCCTAAGGTTAGCTGTCATCAGAACCATTAGGCGTCCTATTTAACTTCAGACTGTTATACTATATTGCTGTAACCATGATTGAGCTACCTAGTCAATGGCAGTGTACTGGCCCAAACGTGCTACAGTTATATATCCAAACAAAAGTTAAGGGGAGGTTACTGTATATAGGGAAAAAAGTAGAGAACAGACTGGAACAGTGATCCTTAACTCATTCACCCCTAAAGACACATTTGAGCCCTTCCAACTCACAGGTAGGAATAGTTCATTATTAAACTTCAGGGGTGATTGAGTTAATCGTCTAAGTTACTATAAGTGTGTATCTTTGATTTTTTCGATGAAATCTTTTGGCCCTACAACACAATAGCTGCAATACAAATGCCGCAGTGGCGGATCCAGAGGGTTTTGGGGCTTCAGGCCCCCCCCTANCACTCTGCCCTCCCCGCCCCCCTGGAAACCCCTCCAGATAGGTCTCTGGATCCGTTCGTGAATGGGTACTATATTAAACTTACCTTGGAAATCGTACATCAAAGGAAAATCTTGGTAACTCATCTTGTAAAAGAAATTCTTGCTTGAATTAATCCCAAAATAATTCAATCTGAAGAAATCTAGGAAATCTGAACAACTGGTGTTTGACCAAGTCCCAGTAATAGATATAAGTATGTGAGCATACAAGTCCAACAAATAGGATCCAGAAATATAATATACTGATATATACCAGGAAAAGGACTTGAGAAGAAGTTCCACAAATATTATTATGTCTGGATTACATAGAAATATATAATGTTGAACACTCCGTTGTCACAGAAACATTTCATCTAAAACAGGTCGAAGAAACCTAAGGTTGAATTAGTATCAGCATCCTGCAGTCCTCTAGTCCGTCGACAACTCTCGATTATTTTTATCAGCACACGTGTGTTCGGTATAGTGTAGATTGTTTGTTTTCTTTCCCTCCGTGTGATATATACTACATTAAGCCGACTCCTGTGGATGTGGTTTCACAAATACAGTCTGTGACAGCTCTGTGTCAAAATTCAAAACATGCTGCTATATATCCACATCCTTGTTTAGTACATGTGTGTTAACAACAGTGTGCACTCGCTCTTTGACAAAGTGTAAACATTAACACATGTAATAGACACAGGCCAACAGCTGACCACCTGATGGACGTGTATACATCTAAGTGTGGCACTGACATGTGCATCAGTGGCTTCCTGATAAGGTATTTTGATACCTGACAAAAAACATTACACGGGTGCATATCTATATATGCACACACATATACATATGGCCCGATAGGTAGGATGAGAGTAAGATGATAGGGATACACAGTTATCACAGATATAGTTATAGTGTCCACAACTTAGGAGGTCCATTCAGCACCAGACCACAAGGAGCTAGGTATATAGTCAATGGTCACTCACTCAGTCACTGTCCACTACAGTCATTTTGGCTTTACTTGAGTAATTCAACCATGACCATACAGTCTGTCAATGTCTTAAGGCTTATGGTCAGACTTTGTGGGGCACTCTCAGGGAAGTTGTATTTAAAATCTTTACATGACCATCTATTTTTATCAATGAAACGAGGAGTAGTATAAAATTCAGGAGATAACAATCAATATAGAATATGATTTTATGCTGGTCTTTATAGACAGGTGACCAATATACAAAGGTTGCTTTTATGTCTTAAATTGGTCATTATAGAGAGGTGACCTATGTAGAAAGGATGATTGTATATAGTTACAACTGGTCTCTATGGACAGGTGATCAATATAAAGAGGTTATTTGTATATAGCTACAACTGATTGCTATAGACAGGTCATCAATATATAGCGGTTATTTGTATATAGTTACAACTGGTCACTATGGACAGGTGATCAATATATAGATGTTATTTGTATATAGTTATAACTGGTCGCTATGGACAGGTGATCAATATATAGGTTATTTGTATATAGTTACAACTGGTCTCTATGGACAGGTGATCAATATATAGAGGTTATTTGTATCTAGTTACAACTGGTTGCTATGGACAGGTGATCAATATAAAGAGGTTATTTGTATATAGTTACAATCAGTCTCTATGGACAGGTGATCAATATATAGAGGTTATTTGTATAGCTGTAACAAATGGTCGTTATGGACAGATGAACAGTATTCAACTATACCTTTTCGCCATCAATATTAATAATCAAAATAATAATAATGAAATATTGGATGTTTCTACAGGATTTCATTGGGTATCTATACACATGCATATACATACACTACTGTTTGCTAAGGGGGAGAATTTATCAGCAAATGACCACAAGTACGTTTGTTTATTTATATCGTCTCCCAGACCCTATATGAGCCCCACATTCTCACCTATATGATGTGTGTATATATATTGGCCCCTTACCTGTATGGTCATTACCTGTGGAAATGGCTGGACACTGTGAATAACCTCTGACATAAGACTGTGGCAACACTGACCAAATGACCACCAAGTGACCAGCCATACTGACCCTTCAGGCAGCCAATCAGACATATTATGTAACATTACCACATAAGGTACTTGTGAAACACAGATGTAGCTTCACTACATCAGAGGGGTCATTTCAAAACCTATTTTTTTACCTTGACAATCAGGTACACCCTTAATCATTAGATTTCTGTATCTAAAGTAAATTTGAATGTTCCCCTGATGCAATCCAAATACACGCTGGCTATAGTCGGACCTTTGCTACTGATCCAATTTCTCACAGGTTTTAGACAAATCTCATACAAAGCTATTATGCCTATCCGGGACCCCACTTACATTATGTACCTATAGCTATATAGGCAAAGCTTAATCAGTGAGATATTTTTATCATATTATCAAGAATTTAAATTTAGAACAACATATGGCATGTATCAAAAATATTGTAACAGAAAATATATAAAGCTCATTCCTTTATCTCACACATTACGGGGAAATCTGAGTCGAAAATGGATAACACCTTAACAATATCAACTGAAATGTATAAAATACATGCAATCCTTTTTGAGACGATCCCCTACTGACCAGAATGACATCACTGTGTATTGATGAACATGAAGTAATACTACACTGTAACATGTATTACTCAGTTTGTTATCTAAATAACTAAGGTGTATTTCAAGCATAGAATAGTTCAGCCTTCATTTTTTTCTATGGCAGGATTTGGTGAATTACATAACAGACTTAATTTTCTTTTTGCTCTTGGTTAGGTCTTTTTAGTAAACCATCATGTTTACTAACTGAATGATATGAGTCACAAACAAAAGCGAAAAAAATGATATGCAATTTTTTGTTCCGATTTTTTTTTGGGGGGCATTTAGTGGGATTTTTTATCAAATTGTCAGAGAAAGGTTTTGTTTCCTGCCATAAACTAAAACTTTTTCCTTGGTAATGTTTTATAGATGGAACACAAAAGTAATGTCGTCTTTTTATGAGTATTTTAGGTGAGTAGGTTTTTTTTACGATGAAATGATATGTATCATGTGTTTTTAATAGTGTCTCGTAGGTCAACATTTGGCCGGATATTAATTCCTGTTAATTGTTTTTATATTGTATTTGTTTCACTGTGAATTAATATGTGACACTTTAATAGATTTTTTTTTATTATTATTTATTATTATTATTTAAGCCCTGATNATTGTTACGTCACTTGTTTGTGAGAGTAACGTCATCAATTTTTGAGAAAACGACGTAATTTTCTCACACAAACCAATGACGTAACAATCAATACCTGCTCCCAAGAGAAGATAACTCTGCAATACGCAAAGACGGAATACTGACCTCACCAGTTGGTGTTGTATATGACCAGTTGCATGCAAGTGCGGTACCTAAGAATTGCATGACATTTTTTCAATTTCCTTGTATGAACATAAATCGGTTACATACATATTCAATGAAGCATTTTTGTGATTTGCGTCCTACTGGCATGAACACTTAATTTATTTATTTTCTATATTTTCATTAAAAAAAATATTATTAACCTAAACAAAGATATTTCCTTATATTTTCGATATTGAAGTGTCTGTGTTGTCATTTTAAACGAGATTCTGGGACGTCGACAGCCTAACATCACCAAAATGTTTGCTTCTAATTATAACAGTGCATGGTCTCATGTTAACCGAAGCAAGAGGAGAAATTTGAAAATGATTACCACTGATCAAATTGCATTCATAGCCCTATAAAAGCTTATTATGGTTATGCTTATAGAGGTACTTGCAGTGTTAATACGGGTCAATATAAGTCAAAGTAAGGATCACAGAATGTCACCCGGACTAACTTTCATCAAATTTGTTGAAATATTATAAAATTATGTGATAACTTTCAAAATACATATATGATGTATCAGCAGAAAGCTTGTTTAATCTTCTACTTCTCGTAATTTTGTCCATGTAATACTTTTTTTATAAGTTCAAGAATATTCTACACACGTGCTTGCAAAGAGAAAATTCTTCTCACGACAATTCTGAAAACACACTGTGATAATCTGTAATTACTATACTATGAAAAAATAGGTGTACGGAAGACCTCTATAATATTGTTCTCATGATAAAGCCTGAAAAAGAGTGTGATAAACTGTCTATCATCTATATACCACTACATTATATCCATTCATTAAAATTCAACTGAACACCATATTTTATTTTCCAAATTAATTCTAGGCTCACTGATCATTGAGATCCCCAGATAGTGACAAACGTAAACAAACAGATGGTTTGTGCGGAGAAAGACCCTGAACCTTAAAACTTCATGTAAAAAGATATTTTTAAAACAATGCTATTGTCACTGGATTCTCCATATTCACATTTATGCTTTAAATGGCGTTGTTATTATATCCTCACAGTATTTTTATGACAGACTTTTTTCTTACGCTGCACTTTTGTGTGTTAATAATCATCATTATCACCTATATATATATATAGGTTTTTTAGAGGGTCGTTAATTTTATTTTTTCTATATTTACTTCCTTCACATGGACATTTAATCCCTTTTTATTATATAAATATATATGTATGACTTTATACCACCTACTGGAAACGTGATAAAGTCATCATCATGGGTTGGCTGTATGAAAATTAATACTTAAAAAGAACTTGAGAATGTCTTTAGAACAACTTGAGAACAAATTTTCCTACTTATAGGAATGTGTTTTCTGAAAAAAGAGTACATGCTTGTACCAGATGACGTCGTTAACCGGAAATGGTATCCAAACAAAGGCTTGACGTGAGCGATGACAAAATTGAACGTTCTCACAACAAACCCTGAAAACAGTGTGAAAATCTATAATCGCAGGTAGTAACCTGAAGTCGTTTGCATTTTCTTCTTGTACATTTTCACACTGACAGTCCATGATAATGAGTTCATCATGCTAGAGGTACATGGTATGATATATAGATGATATCAACAATCACAATCAGTCAAGGCTGTACCTCAACATGGCCGTCAGATTCCTTCTACACAAGATCTCTCTATAAAAGCAGTGAACAACAGTGTATTGTAATTGCCAATACTTTCGTCTGAGTCTATGTTTCAAGAATTAGCAAACTTGGCACAGTTGCTTTATTCCATACATGTAATCTACTTAATAACTTGAAATCTGCCTGCAATTGATACAGATGTCCTACTTCCACACATACAGAATGAAAGCAAGGTCACGGAGGTCAAGGTCACAAAAACTTCCATACATGTTCTGCTTATAAAGGTTCATAAGTATGTGAAGTTGTGTGACCCTATAGGTGCAGTATGTTGTCAATAACTGACCTTAACACACAAATATAATCAAGGTCACGGAGGTCAAGGTCACAAAAACTTCCATACATGTTTGGCTCATAAAGGTTTATAAGTATGTGAAGTTGTGTGACCCTATAGCTGCAGTACTTACTGTAGTCAATAACTGACCTAAACACACAAATATATTCAAGGTCACTGAGGTCAAGGTCACAACAAATTCATACAACATGTTCTGCTCATTAAGGTTCAAAAGTGAGTGAAGTGGCATGACCCTATAGCTGCAGTACTTAGTCAATAACTGACCTAAACACACAAATATAATAACGGTCATTGAGGTCAAGGTCATAAAAATGAAGTGCAACATGTTCTTTTTACTGTTTAGTATATGAATGACTTTATATTATATTCCGTTTGTTTCAATATCAAATCCTTTTTTCTGAATCTTCAAGGGGCAGCTAATTAGGACAGGTCTTTTTTGTTTGAAACACCCATTAAAGATTATTTACTCAGGGTATATAAAAACATTTTTAGAAGGAATTTTCTTTAAAGCTAAGGTCAATACCACAGTGAATGATAAACAGTGTTATTTTGAGTATAATAG